TGGTACATCTAAAATACTACTCTAAAACTTGATTCATCTATTCTATTTGCCTATCAATCTAAAAACAAAAAGCCAAAGAGAGTTTAATATCTATCTTTAAAATCTTAAAGATGTTTCTTCAAAATTTTAATAAAAATTGAGTCTTTTTATTTGATATAATAACTTTGGACAATCTTTAATAGTAATAGATGTTGTTAAAAAAAAACTTATTCATTTTGTCACTTGTAACAGATATTGTACATAATACAAAATATGCCATCTTGATAAAATTATCTACCATTATCTCAGGTAAAATCTTAGATAAAATCTTAGATAAAATTTGATGCATTTATTTTTATAAAAAAATACCTTAAAAAAATCAACGCAATATAAGATTGATGCAAAAGTAAATTCTTTCTTCAAAGCCTCAAACAATGCTTACACTTCTCTATTCTATTTAAGTTTGTCTTTACATCTCAAATAAGTGGAGTTGCAACTTGAAAAAAGTTCTTGATGAAGATGTGTTGTTAGAAAAGAATATAAACTTCATGTTTATTGTGTGTTTCAAAGACTACAACTTGAGAAAAGTTTTTAATAAAGACTAAGAACTAGAAAGGTATTAATAAGAGTAAAGAAAGCTTTCTCTTGTCTTTATATAGATTCTCTAACTAGGACCTATGTGACAATATTTTATAAATCTTTTAACATGTGTTGATTTTGTAAGATCCGTATCTTAATTTAAAAGGCAAGTTTTCTATATGTATGCCACATAGTTAACTTGTTCTATAAGCTATCAATACATGTGATACATGGTTAATTTATTGACTAAGTTTTTAATCTATCAATAAACTACAAATATGTATAAAGTCAAATCTATGTCTATCAAGCTATTACAAAGCTTCTCTAAAAGATGTTATGAAATTAATCTACTTCAATATAATCATATAGATAATTATTCGAATAAATATGTATATTCATGATATATGGCTATAATATCACTAAAAAATTATTAATAGTATAATAAAGAACTTATCTAATTGGTACAAATTAATCCTAATCACAATTTAAAAACAAAAACCTAAAATAATGATGTTTTAAAAAAAGTCCCAACTCAATAATGTCATTGTATTATATTGGATTCTTATTATAATAGCAGAGATGGATGAAAAATATTTTTATAATTTACTCTAAAAGACGGAATTGTATATAACCTTTTGTTTAGAATTATGAAGATGCCTATATATTCTCCCTCCTTCCTTTGATCTCTTCTTAATATTCAATTATCAAGTCTAGAAGGAAGGTTTTGGCAAGTCAAAGAGCAAAGAGATGATCATATTCGACCAACAACAAAAGATATTATCAATAAATAAGTAGAATGACTACCATTGCCAATGCTTAAGTAAAAAAAATAATAATAATCCAAGTTCACTTCTTTTTTAAAGAAACAAAGATTAAAAATAAATAAATAAATAAATAAATAAATACATTGCTAAAAGAGACTAATAAGCGAGGTAAATTTCTAGAATTTGACTTGACTTACAAAGTAGTCACAATCTAAGGTGTATAAAATCTTAGGATGGATGAGCTTTTGGAGTCAAAGAACTTGAGGTATCTTAAGAAATTCGGAGGTGCTATAACCATACAAGAAAGAAACTTGATTAAAATTAGATATTAAATTAAAAGTAGAAAAAAAAAAAAAAAAAAAAAAAAAACATGATTATTTTTCATTGTCCTTAACTCTCTCAACTAGCTTAAAAAAACAAGTGTCTTTTTATTATGATTAGAGACAACAAAAAATAGGAGTTGTAATAATAGATTTTTTTTTAATTTAATAAATCAAATCATTGAAGGAATGGTCTAGTGTCATTATTGGATGTATTGGCTTTATAGTTGGCATAATCAAAGAGATCTTGTCAAGGTAAAAAGTAAAATCTACTAAAAAAAAAGGACTTTTAAAGTAAATTAGCATAGAATAGATTCAAAATCACTAAAGAAGTGATGGCCCAATCAAAAATCTTAAATTAAACTTTATTTAATCCAAGATAAAGAAACTAAATCAAACCATTTTAAATACTAAAAATCACAAAGAATCCACGGAAAAATCAGTAGTAAATCAATATTAGAAAATAAGCCAATTAAAAGTAATGAAGAATTTACAACATAATTTATTGTGAGATTTCTATTAGAATGATTTTTACTCTAGAAATTGCCACTTGCTTATACAATTGCAACAAAAAAAGAGTGAAAAATACAAAAGCAAGCACTTCTTCATTATATCAATAATAAATAGACAAAAATAGAAATTATGAAAAAAATTGGAATGATTGCTATAAAATTAAAAAATCACATCAACTTGAGAAGCATCCAAATATTAATAAATTGATTGAGGATTAGCAAAAATATATTAATTAATAAGAAAGTCTATAAAGTTAAAATAGATAATTAGTATAAATTCTTAGGACTTAAAATTTGAGTTTGTTGATAGATGAAAAAGTCTAAATTCAATGCAAAGTTTGTTTTGAAGAACATTTAGCCTAAGACTTTAGAAGACAAGAAAGTAAGAACCAAGCATTGATTACAAAACTTTGCTTGATTTCTTATAGAGTTTATAAAAGAGATGATTATAAAAAAAATAAAAAAAATCTTTGGTATGAGAAATTCAATTTGGAGCAAAACTACAAAGTAGAATCTATTCTTTAGACTAAAATCTACAGATTTAAGAACAAAGAGAGTAGACTCTTGCAATAAAGCAAATACTTGATTATAGGGACCATGATCATGTTTTAAAAAGATTTCTATAATATTTGGAAGAATTAGAAGTATCATTGCATTTAGGATGTAAAGAAAAGAAAAACCGTTGAATTCTTCATTCATGTCTTTAGTCCTAACTATTTCAATTGCATCAACAAGATATGAGTGGCAGTTATCTTTGAAGCTTTAGCAAATATCCAAACAATGAACTAGATAGTGTTGTTTTTTGATACCATCCAACGATATGCCTTTGAGATTAGAAAAACTTGATTCACTTGGATTTGCTTTTTTTTTTTATTTTGTTTATGAAGTATGCAACTTATTATTAACTAACAAAAAAAAACAAATGGTATAGTATGATGCTTTCTAGTACTACAAAATAGCTGAGATTTGAATAGCTAAAGATAAGTCAAATACATATTTAACAAAGAAAAAAGATAAAAAAAAAATTGAAATTATCTTCGATGGATCTTGAATTATCAATTATGAGGCTTGAGTAATAACTTAAAAACTTAATGAAATCTTAACATTCAATAAAGATTCTACTAATAGATTTTGAAATAAATCTCTTATCAAATACTTTTATAAAAATATATTGAATGAATTCATTCATTTAACTTTCTTTATGCAAATCAATTATCAAATCACTATATATTAATTAATTTAGCATAATAAATAAATTAGTCTTTTATTGAATATTTCTTAAAAATATATGGTTGTATAATAATGCTCATAGCATTTCAAATTTAGATTGTATAAAGTAGCTCAAAGCGCTTTTACATAGATTTATATAATGTATATATATGATGAATTTTTGCATTTACTTGTGATGACTCAATAAAATTCAACAAATCATGGGCCTCTATAATACTAACGCTTTGTAGAAAAGAAGTCTTTTTGAACTAATCTAAATTTTTTGCTGAGACATTTTTTATCAACAAAAATTGCAAAGTGTTGATATGTTTTTTTCTTATTATCTTATATCAACACATATTCACTAATTTCAATTTTTTGTTAACTTTTACTATTTTTTCTAATTTTTTTTTAATTACATGTTAGTTTCTTTAATTAATTGTTTAAACTTTTTTTTTAATTACTTACAATACTTATTTTGTAAATTCTTTTTTAATTCTTTATTTATTTCTTTTTTAATAAATAGTTTTATTTATTAATATTATTTTAATTCTTTTTTATTTCTTTTTTTAAAAATATTTACGAATATAATGGAAAAGCAAGAAAAATTAAGATTAAGAGTAGGTTTTAGAATTTAGGATTTGGCATCAATTAAATTAGCAACACCCTAATGTAAATACAAAGTATTCAAACAATCTTTTTGATAACCATAAGCATGTACAAACTCTAATTATTTTGTTACTTTTATTCTTTTGCAACTTATAAATTTTTCTTATAAACCAAAATCCTAGTTAGCGAACTTTAATAAAGCATATTTCTTAATTTGATTGTTTAAATAGTGTAAAATATAGTACACTAATATTGCTATAAGCTTTCTATATTTCTATTTAAATTCAGCCCAATCCAACTTATAAATTGTGTGGAAAGTCAAAATACTATACTAATTTTTCTCGGCTGCCAGCTTGAAAGTTGATAAAGAAGTTTTAGAAGCAATTTCTACTTTTTCAATTATTAATTTTACTTCAAAAAATTGGTTTGTAGTTTGGTCATGAAGGCTTGTAATTAAATGCCAAGTTTTATCTCATTCCAAACTAATAGAGCTTTAGATATTGCAAATCCTAAAATACCTTAGATATGGTATATCTTTGTACTTATGATTAGATATCTCCTATTTGCTCCATTATAATGGCATGGATTTTTATACACATCTAATAAATGCAATTAATTATATGTTTAAGAAATTCCAATAGTAGATGCTCCTCAATATGCATAAATTAGATAAGGAAGCCAGTGTTAATATTATTTTATAAAATCCTAATTGCCAATACAAATACTAAATTTGAATTGCTTATTTAAATTTATTATATAAGCAAAAAAAACATCTCTATTAATTCAAAATTTATTCTAATTCACAACAAATGAATTAATTATGTGATTTTATCTATTGCATTTATTATTAAAATCTTAATTTAAATCACTCTCTAACTTCTTAAAATTAATCCAATTAATGAAATAAAATCTTCACTACAATTCATACTTATAATATGAAGTTATCCACCCACTTTCATGCATTGAGATTTATTTTTTTATTTTTTTATGTATATTATTTTATTTTATTTGCTATTAAAATTCATTCATTAATAAAATTTCATCCAAGAATGAAAACTCATCCTTGAATAATATTTCATCCATAATAAAATTTATCCACAAAATTCATTTGCAATATATAATCATCCTTGTTTAATAATTTCATCCAATTTGGATTCCTTCAACCCTAACCTAACTTCATCCCAACCCTAGCATCCCCTAGTCAATTGTTGTTTAATAGAATCAATTATCTTACGTGGAAATATTCCTTGTACTTGAAGGAATATTTCCACGTAACGATCCTACTTGAAGTTGGTGTTTGTTCCCTATACTCCGACCAAGCAGCTCCTCCCTTCGAAGCTCCACTCCAACAGTTGTTCCTTCTGGATTTGAAAACCTCTATGTCTTGAATATCCTTTTTCCAGCCACCTTTAAGGTTCTATGTTACCACTAACAACACTGATGCCACTCTATATTTCCAAAATATGGAAGCGACTTCATTCAACATCAACCATAAGTTTTGCGCAAGTAATCGTTGAGAAGAGACTGCCACAGAAATTAAGGGAATGTTGATCACCGCTGCTACTTCACAGGAGCAGGACAGATTGCTGCACGCTGTCGGACACAGTGCGGAAGAGGAAAAGAGATCAATTAAAGGAGAGTTTGACCGCAGCTCGCCGACTTGGACCATCCCCAACTCAACAGGTCCTCGACCACGTGATGCCGCACCTCCCACTCTAGTACAGAAAAAACTGGAATTTCTTGTTGCACAGCACTCGCACCCAGCAGCGGCACAAACTGAAGAGCAGCATCAGTTTGTCAACAACCACTACACCTCGCCGCTCCGCAAGAAAAAACTAGACAAAAGAAACCACCGTCGATGCGGCCAGTACCGCTAGACTGAAACAGCCAACGAAGAGAAGCAACACCAACGAGAGACCTTCCGTACTAGAATATTACCACCAACAACAACACACAATCATAACAAAATGGGCAGCACCACCGCTGAAGGAAGAACCTGACGCCGTCGACGGGATCAGCAACGGCAACACCGACACCCGCACACTGCAGCAAGGAATTTGCTTCACCGCAAGAGAGCGCCGCACCACAGCATCTCACTCAGGAGCAGAGAAAATGTAGAAGGAAGCCTCGAATTTTCAGAACTTAGGAACACAGTACCAAGGAAAAAATGAGAGAGAGAGGGAGGAATAAGACTAGGCTGCGCAATTTGCCAGGCCCCGATAGCTCCATCTTTAAAACTCGGATCAACATCCATATTTAGAAAAATCCAGGAAGGTAAGGAAGTCACTTCCTTTTCTCTTTTTTTTTTCTTTTTTTTTTTTTTTTTTTTTTTTTTTCTCCCGTCTTTTCTTTAAGCTTCTTTTTTCTTTTCTCTACTTTTTTGTTTTCTCTTCTTTTTTTTCTTTTCTCTTCCTACTAGTTCTTTACCTTCTCTCAAACATTTTTTCTTTTTCTATTCAACTATTTTTATTCTATTTTATTTGTTAAAAGATATTAATATTTTTTCTTTTTCTTTTTGGATTTTTTAAAATCCAATATTCCTTTGTAATTTTCTATTCTAATAAAAAATCAATGACATTAAAAACTACCATTATTAGACTATAATCTAATATAAGCTAAATTGAGAAAAAAATCTTTTCATCTTAAAAATCCATATTAAGAAATTCAACTATACATTGTATTTTAGTACTTGTATTTATAAAAAAAATTTTCTATTTATTTAAGAGTTCCTTGACTAATTCACTAATTTTGTGATTTTGAACACTATAAGTGCATTTTTTGTATTAAACATACAAATGAATCAATTCCATGACTCACACATTATAAACTCCAATGAAATAAGTCTTTTACTTCTAGAATAAGCTCAAAGTTAGCTTGTCAATCCTTTATGCAAATTTCCAAAAGCCCACACATTTTGCCCTAAGCAACCATTCTACTTATTGAGATTTGATTTTCACTATGATTAAAATGGACATCTTTTAGGTATCAATTTAAATAATTTAAGGATTTTTTTGGTATGATCCTATATTTGGCTTAATTTTATAGTCAATCATATCATTGATTTATCTAATCTACTTTATTTTTACTATTTGAGAGCCATTTTAATGCAATAGAAGCATTTTTATTAAAAAACGCAACCTTGAAGAAAAAATTGCTAACTTCAAACTATAAGATATTGAAAAAAAAAATAAAGTAAAAAGCTTTCATAAAGCCTTCTTTAAATGTCTTGAATTCTTATTAAATTGAGATAATAGAGATATTACCATCGACATGTATTTATTGTAATTATTATCTAGGTAATATAAATAGATAGAAGTAGGTAAAAATAGATTAATTTTATAATATTTTCTAGGAAAGCTTCTTAGAAGCTTCTTAAATGTTGTTTTGATTTTATATGTAATTGTAATTGATTGATAAGTTAGAAACTTGGTTTGTCTAGGATTTGTCTTGGATTTTATTAAGATTTGTGTGAGATTTGATTAGGATTTAATTTTTATAATTTATTTAAAAGTTTAATTGAACTTGATCAATATTTGATTATATTTGTTAAGCCATAATTACAATTTATATATGATTATATTATAATTATTAGATTTTATTATTGTAATTTTTTTATCTTTCACAATTAGGTATCTGATGTTTTTTCAAATAAGACTTCACATAATATGACACCATACAATTCATAGACACAAATTTTGATGTTCCTCAATAGGTCTACTTGCAACATCAAATAAAAATACTACCTCTACAACCAATGATACCTCACTTAAAGAATTTACAATTATGAGCGTTGAATAACCTTCATCAAATATGGCAATAGCTTCAGTTACAAGCTTTGCTTATAACCTAGCTAAATCTTTTTGAATTAAAGGCTTTGTAACTACTTGAGTTCCATCTAACAATAGCATAGGTACTTTCCCTTTCAATATTTTACTAGCCAATAGAAAGATTCCTAGTAGTTTAAATTCTAAAATCAACAATCAACACTAGAAAATACAACCATATTCAACACTTTATATATCAAAATATATACTATATTTTTGATACTAGTATCTTCATCTTGTATTGAACTTGAAATAGAAGGCTATACTACAAAATTAATATCTTATCATGGACATACTCATGTAAGCTAGTAATTACATATACAAATAGGTGGAAGTAAGTAAAAATATATAAAAGTAAGTTAATTCTATAGTATTTAATATGGAAGCTTCCTAAAAGCTTCATAGACGCTGCTTTGACTTCATAGGTGTCTTTAATTGACTTTTTGGATTAGAAACGTTATCAACAAGTTGGCCATGTGCCACACATGTTGTTAGCTTGAAGATCAAGCTAACTATGTGGCCCACACATAGAAAAACTTGCCTTGTAAGTCAAGGCATGTGTCCTACAAAGTCAACACATATTGGAGGTCCTATAGAATGTCACCACATAGCCCCTAATTAGATAGTATATATAGAGACAAGAGTGAAGCCTTCTTCACTCTTGTCAACTCCTTTCTTGCTTCCAGTCTAGTTTCAAGGGTCTCTAGTTTTCTTGTCTTTTGGCCATAGCAATTCCAGTTGCTCTTTCAATATACATACTTGTTTATTTATATTTTGTTATCTTTCTTTGAGTGAAGGCTCACTTGTATGAATTACTTTTTCATCGAGTTCTTGTCCTTGACAGATTGACAAGAGTACACCTCCAATATCAGAGCTTTGTCTAATCTTGATTAAGAGTAGATTACCCCTTTTTTTTGATAAGATATAAGCATATTAGAAGTTGCGGATTACCCTCTTGTAAACTGATATTGTCTTTAGTATTTTCTTTGTTCTCAAATTCTCTCTTCTATTTGTCTTGAGCAATATTAGACATCTTCTCTTTTCTAAGTGTTATCACGGCAGAACTTATTGAAATGAAGAGTGCAATGGCACAAATGCAAGAGCAATTGAGGGAGTTAATACTTGCGATGCATCAACTCAATTTACCACCACAAGGAACAACAAGATTGGCGGGAAGTAAAGATATAGAAATGGTTGGAGCTGCTTCAACATCTGCACCAAATCATATCCTTTCTCCTATAGTGGAACGCCTTTTCAGTGTTAGAGAACCAAGAATTGTCCTACCCGAGAAGTTTGATGGCACCAGATCCAAGTTTCAAGGATTTATCAATCAAGTGTAACTTGTGATTGAACTTCAACCCCAAAGCTATCCAACTCCAGGATCGCAAGTTGGATTCATTGATATGCTTCTTTTAGGTTCAGCACTATCATGGTTTTCATCTTTTCTTGAACGACGAGATCCAATATTGGATAATCTAGAGGCTTTTCTAACGAAGTTTCAATCCATGTATGGAGAACATGATGTAATTCGTGTTGCAATCAATAAGATCTGTATTTTACGACAAGACAATCAATCAATAATATTGTACACTTTATAATTTTGACAACTTATAACTGATATCAAGTAGGATGATGCTGCACTTATTATTCAATTTTTCTACGGATGTTAGGGACATAGTCCTTAGAACCTTCTAGAGACAAGTTTCTAGAACCTTCTAGAAGCAAGTCTCTAGAATCTTCCAGAAGCTTCATAGTTGATAGAAGTTGCTTGAGAAGCTTCTTAAATAGGAGTATATATTAGAATCAAGACTAAAGAGTTCTTCAGTCTCGACAATACATCTCTTGAAGCTCTAGCTCACCTCTTTGGTGTGATTTTTGTATTCATCTGATTAATCTAGTTCTTGCCAGTTCTTCTTGAACTTCTTGTTAGATCTCGAGCCTGTATTTTTGTGTCCATGACAGTTTGTCGAGATTGCACTCACCTCAGATATCAGAGCTAGTTTCTTTGTCGTTAGAGTATGGATTGTCCCTCTGCTTGAAGGTGTACTAGCATTTTAGAGGTTGCGGATTACCCTCTTCTAAATTGATACTTCTTTTGTTATAATATTGGAGTCTTATTCTTCTTGGAGAGAGTGGATTACCCCTTTTCTTGAAGCTCTTAAGGCGTTTTAGATGTTGCGGAGTACCCTCCTCTAAACCAATATTGTCTTCTTATAGAGTCATTTCTGTCCTTTACTTAGAACGGTCGGAGGCCAAGACATTAGTATGACGGAAAGTTCAGAGTCTAAGTTGGATGCTATTATGAATGCCCTTGCTACGTTATTACAAAGAACTATAGAGATTACAGGAGTCGTGGCAAGGCTTCATAATGATGGAGCATCTGGGATGGCACAATCTAGGTTGCACCAGCTTCAAACTTCTACACTTAGAGAAGCAACTTTGCCTCAGGTTCAACAAGCACCGTTGGTTCTACAACATAAGGAGCGCCAAGTTAGCCTTCCGGATAAGTTCGATGGTACGCGTTCCAAGTTTCGAGGATTCGTCAATGAAATCAAGTTGATAATAGTTTTACAGCCTGAATGTTATCTAACGAAGGAGTCACGTATTAAGCTTGTTGGAACCTTATTTATAAGGCAAGCTCTATCATGGTTTGCTCCTTTATTTGAGAAATGATCGTCCATACTAAACAACTTTGAAACCTTTTTGGAGGCATTTATGAAAGCATTTGGTAAATACGACAAGGTTCGATGGACTACAACAAAGATCCAGTCACTACGACAAGAGATGCACTCTATATCAGTCTATGTATCGAATTTTAGGCAATTAGCATGTGACATCAATTGGGACAAAGAAGCATTGATGAATCAATTCTATTGGGATTTAAGGGACGATGTGAAGGATTTGCTATTAACTCTTCTTGATCCACGAACGCTCAACGATGCTATTAGTCAAGCTGTGAAGTCCGATAATCGCCTATTCCAATGTTACCAAGACCAATGCTCAAGACAACATACGGTTCGTTACGCCCCAACTATGTCAGCAAGCAGCATGAATTCACATTCAGAGGTAGAAGACATGCAAATTGATGAGGTACATGTCAAATCGCTTACTCTAGAAGAAAAAAAGCGGCGTATGGAGGAAGGTCTATGCTTATATTGCGGCGAAGAAGGCCACAAAGTTGAAAACTATCCCAAGAAGTAAAATCGACGCATTGTCAGGACCATATGCGCGTTTGTTCAGGAAAACGAAGATGCTTAGCCACAATAAGAACCGTGCAGCTAGACAGTGAAATATCGTAACAACAACTAGGTTCCTTTCTTTTCGCTCAACTTGTCCTTTGTTTTACAATCCCTTTGTTTATTGGCCCTCAGAAATTGAGAACCTTAGCA